GCCAGTATGAATACTTACTTCACACAGGAACACGAAGAAGTAAAAACACTTGAGATGCCTGTGCAAAAGTACAAGACAGCATTATTAAAGGCAAACAGTACTTCTTTAACTCTTCTTTGACTACAGAGCTACAATAAATGAAAGGCACATGGAGGGGAAATATCTTATGCTTTGGTAGATCAAGCCTCACTGTGATTTATGCCCTAGGGAAAAGCTAATGGCATGTTGTTAATGCAGGGATTTAGCGTCTAGGGAGTGTGCAAAACAAGGAATTGCACACCAACAGGGTGAATGGGAGATGCCTGCATGGATTTGCAGTAAAGCAGGTATTAAATACCTCACGGTCATTCGACAAGAGGTTTACACCTTAATATAACACTGATTCAATTTGCACAGCCAGTGAATACTAACCTACATCTTTGTGTTAAAGATTGCCTTGTTTTCACTAATCTCAAGTCAGAGTATCTACCTTTCCTGTGTCCCTTCAGTTAAACAGTCTCTTCAATACATCAGCCCTTTCTCTGCCTCATTCCTTTCCCTGCCTCTCTCCTTTCCTGTATTAGAGCTTACCTTCCCTCAATTTGGGGAATTTACTCCTGGGTTACTGATCTGAACTTGAATTGCGCTGGCAGCACATACAGATCACCAAGGAAAGGGTGACTTCTATAATGTGATTACTGACTCAGTTTAGGCCCCCTTTCGCATAATGTGATGATAGTTTCTAACTGCTTTGAACTCAAAATACTGCTGGGAAATCCTAGCAGAAAGATTAACGACTATGCATCAGCTTCTAAAACAGTCTAATAAGCACCTTATCTAGCTCTCCTTAAGTCCCAGAGAGGCGTAGGCTTCACACATGCGAGGCCTTCAACACTACTGTCCTTAAAACTTTTCTCAGTTGCTTTCAAAAATCTTTTCCACTGTTAGGCAGTCAATGCACTGAGACTTTGTCCTGCAGTTGATGCATCTTCTATTTTTCTCCTCAAATTCCCCTAATGTATCAATTTTTATAAAAAATTTGGGTAGCTGCAAAATGGCCTTACTTATGTTTGCAGTGTATCACACAAGGGGACCCTGGTCTATAGGCACTACCATAAAACTATGGTTTGTAATACACACTAAGACATTATCTTTGTGTTGTAAAGAGAGGGCGTCCCCTGATACGGGTTCACATGGTGAGAAAACAGCAAAGGGATGTCAACTCCACTCTTTCACTCACCCTTCTCTTCACTGAGATTTTCAAACGTTTGGAGATGCAGAGCCCCAAAAGATGATACTTACTTTATGTTCAGCCCCTTTTCTCAGTTCTTCCTCACTGAACGTTCCAGGAAGCCAACTTCAGCAGCCAAGTGAAAACTAGAGTCAGAGCTAGCCCATGAAAAGAGTAGGAAAGAAAGCAAATGAACAAATGCTCTTCCCTCCTCCATTTGTTTTTTGAACAGATAATTGATCATTTTCAGTCAGGAGAGGCTAATTTTTGTCAGCTGTGCTCAAGTTTTTACCTTTTTGGTGTATAAAGGCCTCTCCACCTCCACGGTCCAGCACACAACTCAAAACCAGACACCACGGGTGTCAAGGCAGTCTGTCCTTTCGGAGCTCAATTCTCCAAGGCAGCTGAGTCATCATTTTTCATAAGCACTGGGTGCACACAGAAGTACTTTGCCCTCAGGTTAATTACGTTCACATAAAGAAAGCGTTCCCCTTCCCTGTCAGGAGACAGAAGCTGCCAGGGATTTTTTTTTTTTTCCCAGTTCCAGGTAAACTTTTTCCCTGAACGTGTACCCTTTCACAGGGATTTTAGTGACTTCTTCAGGGATTAGTGATTTTAGTTTGGGGTTTATTGGACTCCACTCAGCTCCAAATAGCAGCTACCAAAATACCTCCAAGTAAACTCAAGTTTATCAGATCATAATCCAAGTAAGAATTCTATAAATTGCACTGAATTACTTAAGCAGATATATCATACAAGTTTCGCTTATTCTCAATTTTGTAGTCATAACAAAGGCCAAATTTCCACAATATTACTACTCCTATTACCGTAAGATTATTGTAGGACGGTGGCACATCAAAGACACAGGCTAGTTTCCAAAGAGCAAAATACTTTTCTCCCATGCCTTCTAATCCAACTTTCAAGCCACAGATGTGTCCCGCAAGGTTTTCACCGAGTAATAAAACAAAGTTTTGGTTCCAAGTTTGGGGAGAATCTTAATAGAAGTTAGGATTTACTGCTAAGAAGAAGTGGAATGATGCAGGAAGCTTTTGCCCTGAACTGCCAGACAGCTTTGTGCCTTCCTACTCCCTTTCACTTTTGTGAGGCTTAGTATCTACTAGAACAAAGTCCTGCAAGCCATACGTGTCGGTATTGCCAAATCTTTCAGTATTCCAGGCCACAAAGCACAGGGTACATAAGTGTCTCACTAAATATGCACATCGTTAAAGACAGCAAGCAGATATTATACATGATATGACTAAACATTTAATCAATAGGACACAAGTTAAAAGGAGGGGAACACAGAAGGGGACTAGACAGGTTTATATCAGGAGAGAGTTAGTACAAAGTATATGTCCTTTATCACTCAGGAAACTGCCGAATCCCTCAAACATGCAGAATTTTCATCGTATCCAGCACACTAGTAGGGAAGACAGGCCGATATCAAGATAAAGTAATTACAGTTTTATAAGTTATTATATACACTTGTGATCTTACCACATTGGGCCAATGCAACCAACAAAAAAGCATTACTATGAACAGTACTATTCAATATTATTTAACCACATAAAACAACTCAGGCATCAGAAAAGCACTTTGTTTTCAGCCTCAGTAAGAAAACACTTAATTAGCAACATTGAAAATGTTTTTGTTGCAACTCAAGTGATTATAAAACCTCTTCTCCTCTCAAATAAAGCTGTCTCTAAGAAGCTTTGACATTACCAGAAACATCAACAAACTAAAAAAAGCAGAGGAAAGGGAAGAAGAAGAGAATGCAGTGGACGTTGCATTCTATACAAACAGATTACAAACTTCTTTTTGGTAACCTCAGGGTCAGAAAAAAAAGCCCATTCCTAAAGAAATAGGTGGGGGAAAAAAGAGCATTTTTCACAACAAGCAAAACCACGACCCAGGATCTGCTTTTAGCCCATTTTTACTTTTCTTTATCCCAGAGGACAAGAAAAGGATAAAGGGAAACTTTTCTATTGAAGTTAGCTGAGCAGCCCAACTTGTTTAAAAAAAAAAAAAAAGTATTAATGCTGCACAATCACACATGCTGCGAAACAGCAGCTCACAAATTTTGGTTGGCTTATTCAGTACGGTATTCTACTTACTAGAAAGCAGTTACACCTATTCTCTGCTCTTTACCTGTAAGCACTAACTGTGGTATGAATTACACTCTGGTGTCTCCTCTCTGCTTGAGGTGTGGTTCCCTGTCTAGCAAACTCGGGAAACCCTCCTAGAGAGGGGCGTTTGCCCACTCGCTCCCTCTTTATGGAAGTCTCCTGAGAAACCCCACCTTTCAGGGAGGAGCTGATAAAATCAGGGCATCTAAAAGAAACAGAGATTTACAAGCCCGTTGGTTCAGAAATACAAGAAATGCAGGTCAGAACATTTAAGAGAAAAGTTATGGTTGCCTAAGAGTGAAATTCACTGAGAAAGTTTGTT